TTTCATTTTTGTGCATTTTTATTGTTGGCGGCGGCACCTGTTCCTGCCGACGCCTCAGTAACTGCTATTAGCGCCTTTGTTACTACTGTGTGCAAGTAACGGATAACAATTCTGACGCAAGACCATTTGTCCAATTGTAGTGTTCGGCGTTTTTTGCGTCCAGCTCTCGCCGTTGTTGCTGACTTTGATACGAACAGATACACACGGACACACACTAAGATTTTTGCGAATGTGTATTGAACTTGTGCCGGCTGGCTGCTGTTACCAGCAACAGTCATTGCTATCGCTACGATGCTTATTTGAGTAACGATGACGCACTTCCGGCCAGTTCCTTGTGCAAAACCGTTGTAGCCAAGGTGGGTAGCTAGCTTACGCCTTTTATTCCTTCAATCGTTTGTTTATTACAATCCGCATGAGCTGGTGATTTATTACTTGATTAGGTTCTCTAACCTGGCCGGCTGTTGGCGAATTCACGGGGAAGATATTCTATAGCAGAAGGAAACACCTAGCAGTGTGAACTGCGACATTAAAGTTACTCAAGTTTGCTTATGCTGTCGCCACCTATTAAGGCTTCATAGTGACCATAGAGGCTTCTTGGTAGCATATTATGACAAACTTGTACTCCATGTACAAAAATTGGACGAAAATGTCTCATTAAAATCACAAAGGGGCTGGACTTATTAAGAACCAACTGAACGCATGAGTGATAGCTTACAGCTACGACCAGAAACCAGTCTACGTGACGTAGACAGTGGCTTATTTGACGCTCACTTGAACGAACAATCGAGATCCTTATTCTAAATCCTTAAATAAATATTACTATATTTATGCAAACGATGATCAGTTGAAACAGCATGACATACAAAACAAATCTATTTAGAAGAGTTGTCAGCTTGCTCGAATATTGTCCTTCTTCGTCATTGTTAACGGCGTGGGCCCAGTGGGAACATTTTGTGCCAAACGCAACGAATCTGGTCGCCAGCGGCCCCGTGTCCAAGTGATCGATCTGCCTCTGGTCTAGACGGGGGCAAAACAACTACGAAAAGAAGCCAAGCCGACCACTCCGCTAACAGCGACACCTGTAGCCGGTGGCGCCGCCAACGTCAAGTTAGCACGTGCCCAGGTCTAAATACCACCCACAACAGGAGCGGCTAGATAGATGATCTCTATGCGTTGACTGTTGCGTGTTTACGCGTCTCACCAGAACGAGTACCATCACCGACGTCGTCACCATAATCATCATCATCATCATCATCATGTGCAGCAGCAGCAGCAGCGAACAATTGCTCACTCAGTCCGTATCATTTCCGGCTTCCCATATAGCACCACGCACAAGAAGATGGTGTAGAGTGTCATCTATCGTAGAACTTATCTATCAGTGACTGGCAAGGCCGTGCGCTGGCATGGGGTAAGATGGGAGTAGGGTGAAGGCAAGTGGATGGGAGAACATATAAGATCGACTCGATGGGTCGTTGGGGAACTCGCCAAAGAGAGAAGAAAGAAGACAATAAATAGCTGTAGGGACCTCGCGACCATTCTCGTGAGAGTCTAAATACGATGGAATTCATCTTGAGGTAGGCACGCGAATTTAGCCAGTGTTCACGATACGGGTAATACGCGTAGGTCGAAGCTAATCAGCAACTGTACAGGTGTCGATGAGAAGGCAGAAACCGCCTGAACTACGCAGCATTTTAAAGCAGATATTCTTCATTGCCTGAGTCTTTACGTACTTTTTGAAGGCTTACATTTACAGACGGATACTGACGAACGCTTGATAATCAAATATATCGGTTTAAACATATTCCACTTGAGTAATTAACTTACTTCCTTCCACAACATTACCTTAAAATTCATCATATATAACTGTCTTTTTTGCAGATTGTCACCTATCTCACTGCTACATCCACCGAAGACTATCATCGGTAGTCAATATGTGCACTTATTTGTAAACGAATGTGCCTTATTAAAACTGATACCTTTTTTTTTTATCTCGTCTTTAACAACGCATGGTCTTATTTCATTATCGTAGAGAGATAAAAGCGGCCTGAGCCAGAAAATACTGAATATACAGTATTTTCTGGCTCAGGCCGCTCAGACGACCTGAAAATACATGAAAAAAATGCGATTGCCTAAATGATATTCGTTTGAATAAGTTCAGCGTTATGCCACTCGTGGCAGTGCCCCTGCTGTTTGATACTTTGTATATTTATACATTTATCTTGGGATTGTTCTATTAAAGCAATGTTAATAATCAATAGTATTTAAATATCTGTTAATAATAAAAAAAAATAAACGCCTGTTAGCGTTACATTGTAGATACAAAACTACATTGTCTGTGATCATATATATTACCGTCTACGGCACATAAGATTCACTCAGTGTATGCGTAACTAATTGGTGTCGAAATTAGTATAGGGGTAATAGGTAGGCCCTTGATGCTCGAGCAAAAGGACCACTCAGCTTTCACAGTTCAAAAGGTTGCCAGTGGTTTAAATTACGCATTTACAAGTATTTGTTTACCACCGTTCCGGGTAGAGCTTTTCTTGTTGTTTTCCCCTGTGACCTCCAGGCTTGTTCTGTTGGGTAGAACACGTGATGAAAAAATCGAAGAATCATTAATTTGCAGATATAATCACGGAGGTATAACATTATAAGATGCTACATCTTAAAGAAACTGATATTATAACTTAGAAATAAGAAATTAACTTCACGAGCTAGTTTCATTCACTCCTTCAAAGGAATAATTAATGGAGAATCTACTTTTTGTTTGTTTCGTTTAAATGATCCACCAGAAAATATGATCTAAGTCCACCATTGATTGTTGAAAACTGAATTTCTGATAAGTCCAGTGACATATAATTACACTGCTTTTCGAATGGATGGAGGCCACATTAAGCGACTGGCAATCTATAACGATGCCTCCGATATTGGGTCCGCCATCTATTTGTCTTTCGAGGCACATTGTGTTAAATTACATTATACGTGCGTTTTCTTCACATAACAAACCGGCATACACACGTTTTTAGTTATCACTGGTCCGTTTTGTCATTAGCGATCATTTAATATAGTTATTCAGTGTGTTTGGAGAGACGAATGTTGACAATTACCGCCATTGCCATCGTCAACTAGAGCTAGTATGTTTCCGCGATCAGGACCTTGTCCACGGAGCTATCTACTGAAAGTCGTCAACTGACAAAAAAAAAAAAAGAAATAAGAAAAAAATTAAGAAAAAAGAGATTCATTGAGTCGAATGTGCTTTTCTTCGAACCGGTCAGCCATGATCGCGCTTGTACTACCTCGGCGGCTGTTCTATTCAACGCATACCGATTTGTCGCGCTGATGCACTGCCTGCCACAAGATGTCTAATAGGCGGGATAGCTCAGCGAATTTCACCGCGTGAACTTTTAAGTGTCTAGATAAATTATATAAAAAATATTTGTCACTCGCAAGGGTCTGGACAGCGTACGACATCGATTTCGTTTCGCCGAGAACCGTTTGGCCTCCAGGCCTTTAATTTGCCTACACACGTTGTCCTAGGGTTCTGGCGATGGTACCTTAATCCTGACACCAACTTGGTACGTAATTTTTCGTTTGGCCGAGACAAGATCTGCACTGATGAGCGTATGAACTGTGAGGCGTATTCGGGTCGACGAGGAAATTCCTGCACTGACAATGCCCAAATGGCAAACCACGAAAAGAGAAAAGTATTTATTAACACAGTAGCACCGAACGCTCGTGGGCGCCGGCAGACGACAACAATCAAATTCTGCAAGCAATTCGAAAGTACTTTAAATTGATCCCAATCACCTGCTGAGCTATTACCACCGATACGGTATATATGTCTATGTAGATTTTACGGTTGCCCGTAGACGTTTGTTGGCAATGATACCCAGCATCGATCCAGGACGAATTAGGTAGATAGTTAAAAAAAGAAATGCCAATCAAACTGGACGAAGTGTCTCTAGGCCTTGGCCTCGCACTTTTGTTAGACATTATTCAGTTTTGCAGTTGTATACATTTTCGGTTGTAACCCCTCTGGCTACAGACTGAAACATAGATAAGACTTGACTTAATGAAATACGTACGACTGGAACCCTCTAGCCGGTTGTAAACATTTAAAGCTATAAAATGACATCTAATGCTAGACCAGTTTGCAGTAAGAGTGCAAAAAATTCGGTCTATACTACCGGCTATGTGATTTTTGTTAAACACGCTTCCGAGCAAGGGCCTACGCTTTACTGAAAAAAGACATCATCCAAAGATGAATGGTTACTGTCGATGCGCGTTGTGGGTAGCATTTATCGACATTGTTCGAGATGGCCTACTATATATATATTCACAGTACTCGACTGTGTACTCTTATTATTGATGCTGATGACTAAGTTCCTTCTTATGGATTGTCTTGTGCGCGCTCAAATCAACACTGCTACGCCTTTTCCCCACGCTTGGCCTGGCTGGAGCGAGACTTGGCGTGATAATTCGATTTACACTGTTTTTACTATGTAT